ACTTCATCAGCCTGAGACCAGAAGAACTAGATGGTGCCTGGCTACCACCAATGACCACCCTGACAGGGAACACAACAGAGAGTCCCTGACAGAGTAGGAGAAAAGTGGGGTGCAGAACTCAAGTTCTAGTAAAAAGAACAGACTTAATGGTCTGACTGAGACTGGAGGGACCCCAGAAGACATGGCCCCCAGACTCTCTGTTAGCCCAAAACTAAAACCATTCCCAAGGCCAACTCTTCAGACAAAGGTTAGACTGGACCATGGGACATAAAATGGTACTTGTGAAGAGTGTGCTTCTTAGCTCAAGTAGTTACATGAGACTAAATGGGCAGCTCCTGTCCAGAGGCAAGATGAGAAGGCAGAGAGGGTCAAGAGCTAGTTGAATAGATACAGGATATCCGGGGTGGAAAGGAGGAGTGTGCTGTCACAGTATAGGGAGAGCAACTAGGGTCACATAACAATGTATTTATAAATTTTTGTATGAGAGACTAACTTGAATTGTAAACTTTCACTTAAAGGACAACGATAAATAAATAAATAAGAATAATGACAGTAAAAAAAAAAAGAAAAGAAAAGAAATACTGTGTAGACAAACCTAGAGCAAAGCAAGGTGAGTAGAACATGAATTGGATCTAAGGAGCGAAAGTGCAGGAAGGCAGGCAAGAGCCCTAGTGATCCAGGTGACCATACAGCAGGGAAGGAACCAGAACATAGGGACAGAATTACTCAACAGTAGTTGCCCCTGATCATTTGGGTGGGTGGCACTGGCAGAGTGGAGGTCCTTGGAGTGGCAGCTGGAGATCCCCTACCTCTGGACAGCTCCTGTTCCTCGCATTTAGTTGAGACTGGGTCCTAATCACCAGCTGTACTCTTCCGGGAGTGCCCTGGGACCCACACTAGAGAAGGGGAACACATTCCTCTCTTCCTCCCCGCCTTGCCCTCCCAGTAACCATCAGTGTGTCCCCCTCCCCGCCGCCTGGTGATTGGCGGTGCACACTCCCATGCTATAGACCTGCGACCAGAGAGAATTTCTGAAGATTTCTTGGTAGATCTCTACTATTCTATTTCTCCTTTACCTTAGTTTTCAGATTTTAGGACTAAGGAAGGAGTCTAGGATTATCTTTAAGGAAAACACCCAACCCCACAGGCCATTCTAATCAGGAAAGAGGATGTACAGTGAGTTGAATCAGTGAATAATTTTGTTTTTGTTCAGTTACGGCTCCAATTTCTTCTTCAGATGTCTATTACTCTAAAAAGTATTATGAATGGAAAGAAATTTTAGGTCTATTTTATTCATTTTTGACCTAAACTTTACCTTTTCTGTTTTTTCCAGGGTTTCAATATCTACTTTATTCATAAAGTTGGTCTCAGTACTAATGTAGTAATCACCCTTACACTGTACATAGTTGACATTGGTGTTGTCAGTTATTGCTAAAACCAACCCCCAGAGTTATTTAAGCACCACAGCTTACTGTAGCAGGCCCTAAGCACACAATCAGAGGGAGAAAGCTGCTTCAACATCCTCTCACATACCATTATATATATACTATAAATATATATATTTCAAGATTTATAGTTGCATAGATTTTCACGTATCATAATAATTTTCAATATCATCACTAATCCTTAAAAACCTGAAAATTCTTGGCATATTAAAAGGTCTTTTACCAGGCATCTCAAACTTTGACATGAAACATTCAAAAATATTCTTGCATGGATCAGGGACAGCCAGTGTGCCGAATTCTGAGACTACAATTTGATTGTGAACAAGTTTCTATCACTCTGTAGAAACATGCTCCTGTATGTCACTGTACGCTTCTCCATCCTGAACTGGTGAAGCAAGGCCATTCCATCAAACTAGTGGTTGTACTTTTACCAGGAGCAAAAATAGAAAAACAACCATTAGTAAGAAAAGTATGGGGTCAAAATGAGAGATGGAGTGATATTTCTTTATTTCAAATTCAGAGAAAAGAAAATGGGATAGGTTCACAGCACAATTTGATTAGTCAGAGAATTTGAAATTAAGGGAGGATGCATTTGAGTATATCTTGGGGCACAACAGGAAATAGCAACTTACATTCTCCTGACCCTTATCTCCTTATCACCCTGTCAAAAAGCTCAGGATTAAAAACCCTATGGTGGTGACTTCTAAGAAAATTTTTATCTTTACCCCATGGCCAAGGGAAAAGTATGAGAGGCTATGGAATGCTTAACATTTCCCAAATTAGAATAGGTTCCTAAGCTATTAGAAATTTGTATCTTCATATGCTATATACATTACGTGGAAGGGGGTAGTCTGAATGCAGCCTGCCACCTTTCCCCGTGGCCCATGAGTGAACCTTATGCTTAGGATCAGATGTGTTGGCCTGTCTTCTTAGAAGGGATGTGGTTGTGGGCTGACTCCCTTTCTGAGGTGTCTCAACCCAGAACACATCCTGTGATAGGTAATGGTATGTCAGCACATCCTTCCCCTTTTGCCCTTAACACGTCAACATTCCCAGGAACTGCTTAGCTAAGCACCTGGCTAACTCCACAATTATATCTGTTCCCCACAGGGATGGAATGGGGCCTGCATCTGCAGTACAAGAGGGATGCATGCAAACCATTTCCCTGCCTTGGCTGCAGAGAAAGAACCGCTAGCCATGGGGGACTGACATTAACTATTGAAGCTAACCTCGCTCTGACTTTTCTGTGTGAATAAAGTGTTGTTCTATCCAGTGCCTGTGTTAGTCATGTCTTGGTGACCCCAACACCTGCAAACCATGGAGTGGGTTGACATCCTAGGGCTGCTACTCCTGGTGACAGGCATTATTATGCTCTTTGCTATCCTTGATGTGATGGGACTCCCCCCGCACCCCGGAGGTGATAGCAAGTGTTACTTGCTTGACATATGACATTCTGCAGTTACTTTAAAACTTTCAAATTTATTAAAATTATGCTAAAGTAAACAAATGAAATGACTATCCTTTCTGAATATTTTTGTTTATATTAATTACACTAAAAAAGATCAAATTAAATGAACATTGAAAAACTGTAAGGAAAAGTTTGTGGCTTTGTTTTTAAAAGGGTGCACCATCTTCTGGTCCTTTCCTTCATATGTTTGAGGGATTAAATGCTTAATGTCTTCAGCATAGATAAGCAAGGCTAACATCATTGTTTTAAAAGTCAATGATTCTTAGAATATCATCCAGCCATTAAAAATTATGGTCATTCAGACTTTACAGCAACATGGATAAAAAAGCTTATGATATAGTGTTATGTTTATAAAAAGCAAGGCAAAAAAATCTACATACAATATGACTGTAATTATATAAAACACGCCTATAGAAATAAGGGGAAAACTGGCAGAAAATACACCAAAGTGCTAATAGAGGATTTGTTAAGCTGTACATGCTTCCCCTCAACCCTCTTTTCTGTGTTTCAAAAAGTTTTATACAGATAAAAAATTTATAATGAAAAAAGTTTCTAATATTTAAAAATGTTTAAGACAAAGCAGATACCTTCTTAACCATGGGGGTTTCTTCTCATCTCTTCATGTCCCTAGTAGAACATGTGGAGAGAAATGATATACTAATGAGTTATGGGTCTTTCATTTATTTACATATATTTATTAAGTTCTACCTAGGTGCTGGGCACTATTCTAGATATTGGGGATATGAGATGAACAAGAAATTAAAAGTCTTTGCCCTCATGAGAGACGCAAATAAACAAAAAATACTAAACAGTGATAGTGCTGTGCAGAGAATTAAAACAGGTAATATAATAGTTTTTAGGATGGAAGATCAGGAAAGGTTCAAAGGACTTGAGATTTGAGCTGAGATCTGAATGACAAGAACTGACCAGACTTAGGAAAAGGAGAGAAGGCAGATGAGAGAGCTAACGCCAAGGCCCTGAGCAAAAATAAATGTGCCATGTTTGAGAAACTGAAAGAGGTCATTGTGGCTGCAGAGTACTTGGTGAGGGAAGGAGTGGTATGAAGAACCTCAGGAACTTGTGTTGAAATAGAGCAGAATGATAACAGGGGGAGCTCCTGACACCTCTCCTCTTTGCTAAGGCTTCAAACTAACAATATTCTTCTGAGCAGAAAAATCTAGAGTTTTAAAAAAGAATTAAGTCTCTCTTTTCGGAAGTTGTCCATTTTTCTCCTATAGACTACAATTTTCTTCATCTGAAATAAAAGGGATTGAATGGCAGTGTTCCTCAGAGAGGAGGCAGATATGAATTCATATTCCATAGAACCATTCCATGCCAAGAAATTCACATTGTTCTCCAAAATCAAGACTTACTTATCCTTTCCAAACTTGAATTTCCCAGGTCCAATTAGAAGTAGAACAGCCATTGAGCCATGTAGGAAAATGTCCTCAGACTCGAGCAGAGATGATCTGCAGAGTCTCCTCCACCGCGGTCAGTAGTGGTGCAATACATGGTAGACGTTTCCACTTACCTAAGACACTTTTTCTGACGAGTATTTTCCATGTAGTTTTTCAAAACTTTGAAGAGGAAACCAAAAGCACAAAAAAACTTACCCATCTATAAACATGCCTGTTTCTCCATAGACAATACTCTTATCTACCAGCAACTTAAGGGAAACCTAAGTCTAATGCTAAATTTAGTCTCCAAATTCCTCTCTCTCCTTCCTCATTCTCAGATCATCAACCCTTTGGTTCTCCATTTTCAAATCATGACAATTCTTCTTGTACTTCTTGCAGTATAAATCTGCCTAAGAATAAATCAGGACTTTAATCACTATTATTATCATTTTTCATAGTTGAACGATGCTTGTCTTTTTACAAGAATAAATCTACATGCTAACTCCAGATATGCTGATGGCAACCTCACTGCTATGATGAAAAAATAACCACCATTCAATATTATCACAATTATGTTGACCCCAGTATTTTAGACACACCCAGGATGTTGTTCCAAAGACTTCACAGAAATTCCTGTAAATTTAATAGAATCTTAAATTTAATTCATTCTATTTTAATAGCATATACATGAATGTACATGCATTTTCTAGAAGCATGTCATAAATTCAACTATGTCAGTGATAGCTGGTCTGAAATTATCTGAAGTTCAAAAGCTACAAGAAGTAAAAATCATTATTGTATAATCAGAAGCTAAAAATTGTCCTTGTTATTTCATACTTATTGAGTATTCACAAGGCAGTATTGCATAACGTAGAGGGGTGGTTAAATATATAATTAATTAGGTACTATAAAATATAATTCTTTATTTTATTGCATAAACGTTTACCACTGATATAAAAGTCTAGACTAGAAAAACAAACTAACATGTAGGGACACCATTTCTCTGAAGAGGTGAGATTTGCATTCCTTTAGCAAAATAGTTTACAATATTATATCTATTATTCCATTTTTTCCAAGTCTTCAAAAAATTCCATTTGGAACACATGAGACTTTCTACTCCCCTATAGGTAACAATTCAGTTAAACCCAACTATTTCCTGATTTCCCAAATAAAATTCATATTCACCCTGAATGCCCTTCCCACTGCTTATCCCTAAGGAAATTCTACACACTGTTCTAAGTCCATCTCAATTGCTGTTTCCTTTAAGAGGCAGCATGGTGTGATATTTAAGAATGTGAGTTCAGGCTTGGCCTGGCTCCAGACTGCTTGGGTTCAAATCCTGGTCAGCCACTTCCCAAATAAGTACCCTTAAGCGAGACACAACCTCTCTGTGCTCTGTTTCCTCCTAAGATGGGGATAACAATCATTCCTATCTTTCCTAAGGCTGTAAGTAATAAGTAAGTTCATTTACGTAATGCTTTCAGAACATAGTAAATACTCAAAAATTTTAGCTATTATTTTTTTCTTTTTTTATTGTACTTTAAATGAAGGTTTACAGAAGAGTTTCTCATTAAACAGTTAGTATACATATTGTTTTATGACAATGGTTAACAACCCCACGTTATGTCAACACTGTCCCTTCTCAACCTTGGGTTCCCTATTACCAGCTTTCCTGTCCCCTCCTGCCTTCTAGCCCTTGTCCCTGGACTGTTGTGCCCCATTAGTCTCGCCTCATTTTATGGGGCTGTCTAATCTTTGGCTGAAGGGTGAACCTCAGGAGTGACTTCATTACTAAGTTAAAAGGGTGTCCGCGGGGCCACACTCTTGAGGTTTCTCCAGACTCCAACAGGCCAGTAAATCTGGTCTTTTTTTGTAAGAATTGTGTTCTACATTTTTCTCCAGCTCTGTCTGGGACCCTCTGTTGTGATCCCAGTCAGAGAAGTCAGTGGTAGTAACCAGGCACCATTTAGTTGTACCTGACTCAGTCTGGTGGAGGCCATGGTAGATGTGGTCCATTAGTCCTTTAGACTAATCTTTTCCTTGTATCTTGTTTTTTTCATTCTCCCTTGCTCCTGAAGGGGTGAGACCAGTGGAGTATCTTAGATGGCCGCTCACAGGCTTTTAAGACCTCAGACGCTACTCACCAAGGTAGAATGTAGAATATTTCCTTTATAAATTCTGTTATGCCAATTGAGCTGGATGTTCCCCAAGACCATGGTCCCCACAGCCCTCTGCCCAGAAAATCAGTCTCTCAGGGAGTTTGGATGTGTCTATGGAGCTTCCATGACCTTTCCTTATATAAGTTGTTCTAGCTTCACCAGTATTGTGTACTGTCTTACCCTTCACCAAAGTTACCACTTATCTATTGAGCTCCCCCCCAACCCCTTCCATCCCTCATATCCAACATTCTTTTTGTGTGTAAACTTTTTCATGAGTTTTTGCAGTAGAGGTCTCATACAATATTTGTCCTTTTGTGATTGACTTATTTCACTCAGCATAATGTCCTCCAGTTTCATCCTTGTTATGAGATGCTTCACAGATTCATCATTGTTC